CCCCCGGTCATTGGAGGTGGAACTATCCCGCAATTCACTGTGACCATTAAAATCTCCGAGTAAAATAAAAGGTGAAGTTAACTGAACTATCAGAGAGTTTAAATCTGATTGAGTAACAGGTGCATGTGGTGGTAAGTAGACAGTGCATACTGTAAGTGGGATATTGATACGAATTTGAACAGCGCAAGCCTATAATGAGGTGGATAATGGAAGATGAGTAGATGGTAATGCATTAGAAGTTAAAATTGAAACACCGCCATGCGGTTGATTTCCATTATTAAAATCCTGTCGATAGCAAGAATAATTGAGCAGTTTAAAATCATTGGAAGACGTTAAATGTGTTTCCTGCAAGGCAATGCATGCAGGTTGATATTTTGAAACAATGTCCTTAGCATCAGAAAGTTTGTTTCGCAAACCGCGACAGTTCCATGATATGAAACATATGGACTTTATGAAGTATAAAAGGATGATTTAAAGGTAACGTCATTATTAAGAGGTCAGTCAAGTAGGCACTCGTCGTCAGAAGGATGCAAAGACAATTCAACTTCCAGATCCATCTTCTGTGACGCAGAAGAAGTGGATTGATTGGTATATTGAACGTACTTTGCATCTTTTTTCTTCCTTGAATAGCCAGGCTTTAGACTTGGGGGTAATTTTTTTAAAGGGATTTGTTTTGGAAAAGGTTGGGCCTTTTCAGAATTGTTTATTTTGGATGTTTTGCTAGGTGGAGGTGAGGTTGTCCGATTGGATGTTGATGGTGCGGTAAAGTTAAAGTTAGGTTTTTGAGTTGGTGGTTTTATCTGTTTGTTAGCAGTAGATTTTTGGCTGTGAAATCAGTTTGCGTGCCAACAGAACAAAACGAAGTCTTTGCAACCGTGGAATACGACACGCCCGGACGGGGTGTACGGGCGGTAACGATTCGATGGGCCTCATTAAAGGTTAGGTTTTGCAATACTTTAACTGATTGAATTTCTTTCTCTTCTGACCATCTGGGACAACTCCTTGAGTAAGCTTCATGAGCTCCCTTACAGTTAACGCAAAGGGGTTGAAACTCACAGGAAGTGTCTGAATGGCCAGGAGTAGAACAGCGAGCGCTAACAGATGTACCACGGCAAGATGCTTGTGAATGTCCAAACCTTTGGCACTGAAAGCACCTCAAAGGGTTTGGGACATAAGGTCTGACTGGACAATTATACCATGCAAGTTTAACAGCAGATGGTAATGTTGGAGAGGCAAACGTAAGGATAAGATGTTTCGTTGGAATGAGTTGTCCATTCCTTTGAATCTTTATCCTACGGACCTCGACAACATGCTGGTCTTGCAGGTTTTCTAAGATCATACTCTCTTCGTCGTCTATGAATTCAGTTTGAGATATTACTCCACGACAAGTATTCAAAGATTTGTGAGGAGTGACAGTTACATTAAAGTTGCATATATTTGTGCACTTAGATAGGGCAGTGGCTTGCTTTTCGGATGTCGTCTGCACTAAAAGGTCGCCGGAGCGCAGTTTTCTCACAGAGGCTACTTCTCCCAGTACGGAGAGGAGAGCCTTGTGTAAAAGTGTGCACGTGAACTTTAATTATATTCTTATTGCATATTTAGTAATTGAGCGCTTTAGTTAGCAAGGGACCTTTAATTTTCACTGAGGTTCTCACATTATGTTTGAATCGTAAGCAGTTATCCTCAGCAATCTCATATTTCTCTTGTTTAGACAAACGCTGCCCGTCTAAACTCAAGCAACTCGCACCTTCCCACAAAAGACCATTTTTCATCAAATTTTGCACTGAAATCCTCTACTAATTAAATCTGCAGGATTCTCACTACCTTTACAATGATGCCAAGACTGGGGATTCAATTTCTCCTGCACTTCCCCGACCCTATTACAAACAAATTGCTTACAACGTTCATCGCTTTTCCTGATCCAATGCAATACAATGGAAGAGTTCATCCAAAATACATATTCAGCAATCATGTCTCTAAAAATACCATTAAGATAATTTCCTACTCGAACTCTTATAACTGCCGCCATCAACTCTAAACTAGGCGAAGTTAACTTCTTTAAGAGGGAAACACGACTCTTAGACATTAAGAACGCCACTACGGTTTTTCCCTCATCACTGACATACCGAGCATAAGAAACCGTCCCATATGCAACGAGTGACGCATCACAGAATATATGAGCAGCGTGCAACTCAATAACATTGCAGCAGCGTGCAACACAAATCTTTTGATATTTGCCGAATTATTTAAACTTTTCAATAACGGGGAAATTTCCAACCACAGATTATCTCCTATAGGGTTCCAATTCAAACCTAAAACTTTCAAACTACCACTAGAACTCTCACTAACACCACTAAAATCCTTTTCCATATACAAAGTCTTCAATTATTCCGAATTCAGCTTTCTTAAATTCATTTCAGCTTCTCCCAAAATATGAACAGCTTCAGTCGATAAATCAAACGCCTCCTCAACATCATCGGCACCAAAATAAAAATCGTCCACATAAAGTGAAGTGTCCAACACATTTAGCTGCATTTTCAAGATACTGTAAAATGTGCTTTTTAATTGTTGCACGAAGAATAAACGGTGATGATGTACAACCGGAAAGAAGGCTATTCATTCACAAAATTTTAAAGCTATTACTTGAATTGAAAGCCATAAAAACTTAAAAAATATTTCCTTTCCTTTTCAGTGATGCCTATCACGAGGAAAGCCTTTTCAATATCTGCACTGAACGCTACTTTAAATTTTCTGAATTTAAGAATAATATCTAACACATTGGGATTTAAATTTGGCCCAATGTCTAAATAATCGTTTAAAAATAAATTTTGCTTAGTTTTTGAGCTACAGTTTAAAATGACTCGCATTTTAGTAATATCTTTATTATTTCCCACAACTGCTCTGTGATATTCCTCATTCCTCGACTATTCCTTTGTTTTGTTGCTCTTGTATAGTTACTTAATATTCCCTCGTAACCCAGTCATTCTTCTCAAATTTAGCTTTTCAATTATCAAATCTCTTTTTTGCTAACCAGAAATTATTTACAAGATTTTAAGGTAACCTTTCCCATAATAATGAAGTTTCGAACCTGCCATTAACAAACTTAAGATTATTTTCGAATTTGTTTATTAGATGCTTATCCTCAATAGTAGCTATCTCATTTTCATTTCGAATGCCTAACAATTCTAAATCCCATAGTACCTGAACATCCGTAATTGAACTTAAATTTGTAGAAGTAATACGGTTCGACATCTCTTTATTTTCCTCTTGAATTCCCTGTAATGTATAATCGAATGTAATAGGAATACAGTATAAAGATTTATTTATTTTCTCTGCTTTAGAATTATCAACCATCTCCCAAAAGAAATTAGCCCCAATTAAAACATCCAAACCCTGATTGAAATTCAAACATACATCCGCTAAAACGAAACTTTTCGCTATTAAATCATTCTGAATTCGTGTATCTTGAATTGATGCCTATATTTAAAAAAACATTTTAGGATCATTTCTATTCTTTAATTTTACACGAGCTACACCGTAGGTTTTTTGTTTTGCTATTACGGACCCAAAAGAATGAACAGATAATTTTCTTTTCTTATTACTTTCACTCGCAGTTCATTTGCTAAACTTCGCGTCACCCAGGTTTCTTTTGGAACCATTATCACAGAGAATTTTTACTAATTTATTATTTTTTTCGAAACATGCGACTACGCTGCAAGTTTGCAATAAGACGCTATTTCTCTTTATTGAGGAGTGGCATTGAGCAACCGCATTTTAAGACGAATTGTTATTTAACATTTCATTCTCCTCTTTCTTGCATAATAAATAATGATGAGTTCGCCTGTTATAGTTTATGCACGGCTCCAATTTCGATTTGCAGAGTCTAGCAATATGACTCTTTGAAAAACAACGGAAACAACGATTTTCTTCTTTCAATTTGTTTTTTCTTTCTATCACGCTTTGATATTCGCAAACTTCGTGTTCACTACTGTCGCAAAAAATGGACTTTTTTCTATAGATCGTTGCGTGATATACACTTTAGGCATTTCTATTCTTTTTAATAAAATCAGATTTCTTACGAAAATTCTTATTTTCGTTACTATAACTATTACTATACTCACGTGAATCAGATTTATATATCGAAAGTGCCCTCTCTCTAGAACTTATTTCCTTCTCCATAAGTGAAAACAAATCTTTGAATACACAATTATTTTCAGGATAATTTCAATTGAATTCCAGAACAACTTCCATTGGAATTCTTTCTATTGGAATAGGACTTAATAAATTGCCATAAGTAAGTTGGTCCCTATTCCTTACGACTCTCTCTCTTTTGTGACTCAGCACAATCAAATAACTTTCTTAAGTCAAATAAATCATTTACATTACTAATAAAAGGTACAACTGATTGAGATGTGCTTGGATTAACGGGTTTTTATTACCAAATCCATTCTTTAAAAGATTTAGAGCAATATCGTAGTTTTCATCCGTCGTCAAAGCAAAACCGTTAATACAACTTGCAGCTATTTTTACCAAAATAACACTTTAATTATTTAAATTTATCTACTTTGCTTAAACTGTTATGTGTGGAACTTTCGAATTAATTAAAAAATTCTAACCACTGCACGGGGTTTCCATAAAATTTATTTATTTATAACTTGGGAAGTTTAACAGTTTTCATTACCTGCACATAACTACTCGAACTAGCCAAAGAGGAGGGGGGTGTTTTCTCTACTTTCTCTCATACTTAAATCAACTGAAATATTTCCTTTTTCTTTTGCCCTCAAATTATTAATTACATTTAGAGTATTTTGTTTACCTAGAACAATTTTCTCTTTATATTCATCTGAAATCGAAACATCATTTTCGATTTCACTAATGTCTTCAACCTTGCTATTTAAACTTATAAGTTCGCTTTCTTTGTCGAAACTCTTTCAAAGCATTAGTTTTATTTATATCAGCCAAATCATTACACTCCTAGAGATGCGTTTCAATTTTAGCAATTAATTTGGTGACCTTATTTCAACTTTACGCCTATCCTTGAATTTTTCAATTTCTGACATTTTAATAAATTGCACCAACCTTCTCTCTGGAACTATCGTCATTAGTATCAAGAACATAGTATCAACCTCGTTCTGGAACTCAACATTTAAGCATCAATCTGACAACCAAAAATTTCCTTGCTAGCTAATATCCCGCTAACTAACACCAACAAATGGATACTAAAAATTCAATACTAAAATCCCAAAATTACGGACAACACATTTTAATGACGAACAAGAACAATACAAACACTACCTTTTGGAACAACATTTTAAGACGAACTGAGGAAAAAGAATATTTGTCCTCTCCAACATCTATTGCTTAATTTCTTTTTAACAGATGGTAAGAGATCAAAACATTTATGTTGGTGTAATATTTGCAATACAAATATTTTCTGCACAATTGCAATATTTTAAGTTCGTAGATTCCTGTTGCATAAGAAGGCCGGTTTTTGCTCTACAAACGATGGTCAAAATAGAATAGTCCGTGTTAATAAACATCCTTTGTGGTCAGCACATTAGAGCTGGAAGAGCAATAACCATACAAAAAAAAAATATTCTAAGTTGGGCAGGGTCATTGTGACTGGATGAAAAACAAATCACTCCTTCGAAAACTTAGTTATTAATAAAGTAGAACTCTTAGTTGAGTAATTTTCTCATAAACTTATATTTACATAACAATTTAGGAAGAACTCTCAAATATTCTAAATAGGCATTTTTAAAAATTAAATAGTAATGCAATTTAATGTAAGAAAACATCATGTCTTTATATTTTGCCTTATTATTCATGTAAATTACATATACTCTATGCAAAATTTGATTAAACAAAAAACACTGCTACCTTGAGTAACAGTATTGTAGTTCCATTCCAGAGGGAACTTATCCTTTTTTTAAATGGCGGGCACTTGGAGTGAGTGAGTGTTGTAAATTTTTGGCGCAAGAGCCATAGTTTGGCTATACCGCGCCTAAAACTAGGTTAAAAGGTAATATAACATATTTAAAATTGAAGCACAAGGTTAAAATCTATGTAACTTAGTTCAAATCTAAACAAGTTAAGTTTAAAATTGAAGGTTAAATTTGAAGAATCTTGGTTACAATCAAAACAACTGAAGTAATTTGGCTAAAATCAATATAATGCGATAAAACTGGTTAATTTATTAAAATTTGAACTAAATCGAATTATAAAATCCCATGTCTTTAAGGTAAAGCATAATTTTAGGATGAGGTGGGTCTCCAAGTAAATACAATAAGGTTGGAAAGTAGCAGTTAAAGTACTGGCTTCCTTTCAATTTAAATTTTAAACACTGTGTCAAGAAATGTTTCACTGTAAGAGATACGCGGCAAAAATTGCATGTTGGAGCAGTTTCATTTGAAATTAAATGTTTATGCGTTAAACGAGTATGACCAATTCGTAATCTGTGGCGGGCACTTGGAACTGCTGTCCATTGGTCACAGAAAGCTGAGTCTATTTGAACTGCTGTCTATAGCTGAGTCTATTTGAATTGTTCTTGTTTCGATGATTTTTCTGTATTTTTCATGTTTAGTGTGTAGAACTCTTTTGATGCCTCTATTTCCATCGAGTGTAAGTCTTCGAACATTTGGTCATGCTCGTTATTGTAATTTAACTCTTTAACGAGCCATTTATTTCTAGTAAGAGTAAAATAAAATATTTTTGTGAACATGAAATTGATAATAGGAAAAAAATATTTAGCCTATTAGATAAAATTAATTTAAATTTTAACGCCATTTTTGTGTTAACTAGGACTTGTCACCGCCTACTGTAACTGATAAGGAAAATTAGTTCCCGGATTTGATGGCGCGGATAAATCAATTTAACTTGATGTAAACTTCAAAATGGATTAAAGCAAAACAAAAAATAGCATTATAAAGATTTTAACACAGCATTTAATATAATATATATTTAAAAAATAACTAACGTTCTTGTTGTTTGTCCTCTACCACCATCATAAAGATATTTCTACACTTGTTCCATCTTTCTCGGTTCTAAAACTTATCCTCCATTTTCCATCAAATATGTATGCGTTTTAGATCTGCTAACTTTCCTTTCCTTCCTGCTGACATTGTCCACTCTTTGCTTTAAATTTAGTAATAGCCTACGAATACCAATAGCCACCGAAAAGCAAAAGGTACGCATCTTTTCTGGAGAATCTTTCTCCATTGAAGAGTTCGTTTACGTCATTTAAAAGTTACGAATCTCATGCTATGATTTGAGTGATTGCCAGCGGACATTAATAACGTCATGCTAATCTTATGAAATTAATATATGTACAAATTATAACTATATACAAAATAACATAATGTATAATCAAGCNAAAAAGGTTAAACGATGACGGTTAAAACATGGGCAATAAATTAAAATGTGATGGATTGTGAGTAAAACGTTGCAAGTATTGCAGTGAGGAGAGGGTTCATCAAACAGCAAGTGAAGGTGGGTCAATCGAGTGTGGCCAATTCGAAGACGAGTAAGTTTGACGTCTGCCCTACGATTACGTAGCACAGGCAATGGATCTAAATCAATTTTTATAGCGCGCAATTTATTATTAATTTGGAGATCCCACTGCTGCAACCATAGAGACTTTGTAAGCTGTCGTACGTGTGTTTTTATATCTTGGTATGGTATAGACAGAGAGAAAGGGTTTGTAGCAGATCGTGCGGCAACATCGGCCAAGTCATTGCCCGGAATTCCGACATGACTTGGGACCCAACAAAATAAAATATCAAACCCATTTTTATGAAAAGAATTTAACAGATGATGTATAAAATTTAAAATTGGGTGAGTCGATTCTTCGAAATGTCCCAATTGGCGCAACACGCTCAAACTATCTGAATAAATGCAATATTTTCGAGTAGGCAGTGATGAGATCAATCGCAGAGCTAAAAGAATAGCTACAGCTTCGGCAGTGAAAATTGAACAAATATCTGGGATTTTAAAATTGTACGTGACATCAGCAATGACGACGCCACAACCGACATGACCTGGAGATTTTGAGCCATCTGTAAATACAGGGGCGTATTGAGAAAACTGATGACGATGGGAAGTGAAAAGTTGCTGAAATATAATAGGAGACACTTGAGCCTTATTATAAGCAACAAACTGACAATCAAACTGGTATTGTGAGATGGTCCATGGTGAAATAAGCAAATGCTCAACTGATTGAGATGGCAAATCACAAATAGACAAATTTTCAATAAGTGATCGCATGCGAACGTTAAAAGGGCGAATATGAGAAGGACGAGCTTCATAAAACCGCAACAAACTTGATGGTGTAGAATCACGCTGTAGAGGATGTGTAGCAGATGACATGATGCGAAAGTAATACGTCAAGTCTTGTTTTTTGTCCTCTACCACCATCATAAAGATATTTCTATACTTGTTCCATCTTTCTCGGTTCTAAAACTTATCCTCCATTTTCTATCAAATATGTATGCTTTTTAGATCTGCTAACTTTCCTTTCCTTCTTTCCTGATGTCGCTCACATTGTCCACTTTTTGCTTTAAATTTAGTAATAGCCTACGAATACCAATAGCCACCGAAAAGCAAAAGGTACGCATCTTTTCTGGAGAATCTTTCTCCATTGAAGAGTTCGTTTACGTCATTTAAAAGTTACGAATCTCATGCTATGATTTGAGTGATTGCCAGCGGACATTAATAACGTCATGCTAATCTCATGAAATTAATATATGTACAAATTATAACTATACACAAAATAACATAATGTATAATCAAACTTTTTTTAAATTTATACACAAATAAATAACTCAACTTTTATACCATCATAGAACTATATAGAAATAAAATTTCTTACTTATGTAATCTGGTACTTCATTAGCATATAAATTTAACATCTTAGCCAGAAAATTTTATTTTGTAATATTTTATTGTAATTCTAATTTTTTACTTCCAATTTCGTCTTTCACTAGAAATTTTGGTAAATAATTTTGTTGCTATTAACGTTTATGAACGTTAATTTTTAAATTTCCTGCCTTGTATATGAGTTCATTATTTCGAAATCCAGAATTTTCTCTACACTTTTTTTGTACTTCTAGCATTCCATTTTCTTAATCTAAATTTTTCATCACCATTAATCATCTAGATTATAATTTTTTTTCCGGGTTCAGGCGACAAAATTTTCCAACCACGTCTATAGAGTAGAGAGAGATTTTTCATTTTACATCTCGACAATATAACAATTCGGCATTTAGCGTCCAAACTGTCATGCTTCTTTGGCGTTAATGCCCCCGACATAGAATGTTTTCTATGTCTTTTAGAGTAAGTGTTTCAAATTCACAAATTTCTCTTCATATATACCATAGATTATCAACCTTTTTAACGTTGCCGCCCCCCTAAGGAGCAAAAAAATTTTCAACGCCCCCCTTTGTAAAAATTTAGTTATTTTAAGCAAAGGGGTGGAGGGGAGGTGTTGAATTATAAGAGGCAACATTTTTAAGCAATTTTTTAGGAGTAAAATTTGCTTCGTTCTTTTAAAAAAAAATAATGTGCACGCTAACTCGATATTTTTCTTCCGGCAGATAATCGCATTCTATTTGTTGTAATCAAAATAAATACAGTATTGAAAAAAATACAACAAAGAAGTCTATCGTTGAAAAGAGTAATTTATTCTTAATTAG